AGATAGTATCCAACAAAATATATGCAATAAATACTCCGTCCCAGAGCGTGGCAAGGAAGGACTGTGAGCTGCAAAGATCGTGGCAGACGGATGAATTTACGAAGAATTTTAACAAAAATGAATGGGCTCACACACGGCTCTGCTGCAGAGGGCGCATTAACCGGAAAACGAATGGAAAAAAGGTTTAATTACAGAAGAAAAATAGTGATTACGCGATCAGTCACCGGCTTTCACGAAATGATTCAACAGCTACACGAACCGTTTTGGTGTTTCTTATTAACTCAAAACATAAACAAAACCTGTTCAAACATGTTGTCCTAGAGGCCACTTAGTGTAAGTAGTTTGACCTTGACTTTAAATCCTAACCTTAACCTTGAAATCCAGCCTTTTAAAAAATCAAAAAAAAAACTTTCCTCAAGCTCAACATTTGTGAATCAGTGAATCAGTATAACCGCTCGCAAATCAACAATTCGGAAGACACCCATCCCCACCTCCATCCCTGCTGGCCCATATCTCCCTCAGTCCCCCAAGCCCTGCAGTGAAATGAACTGCCACGGTTGATTCGCCAACTGATCCCTCTCCTTCTGTCTCCCCGTTGAGAGCGGACCAGAGTGAGTGAGACAGTGTCAGGATATTGGGGTGAGGGAGGGAAAGTGAGACGGACAGAGCCACCCCACAAGGCAGAGTTGGCCGTGACAGAGAGTGATGCTCACTTCTCCTCCACTTCTATCGCCCGCTTTCCTTTTCATTCTTCATCACTTCTCGAAGCCCCCGCTCTCCTCTCCTCCCCTCTCCTCTCCTCTCCTGCCAATACTGCACCATGGTAATCTGACATGTTCCCCCTAAATCCATGACCCACCCCCCAACCCGGCGCGCGTGACGATACTCCGATCTCCTCTTTATATAAAACGACCTGATGCGCATAGTAAGTTCAAATTAAACCTTCATTTCTCGCGACTCCGTCTTCACCCAGCTGCCATATGCCCCCTGGTGGAGGTAAACAGTAGCGCTAGCTAACGATTGTCGGATGAGCTTTAAACCTAAAACAAAACACCACGAGGTGCATTTTTTTCTCTCCGTCTTGTTCTCTGCTCAAGAGGGACGGTATTACAATACACAATATATCTTTCACAGTATTATCACCTCATGGACCCCCCCCCACCAAGAAAAAGTATAATATTGGAGTTTTTTCCCATCACTGGAGGGTAGTGTGTGTGTGTGTGTGTCCTTTTGTCATTATTAATGTGTGAATGCTTTAAGCCATGCAAGTGTGTATATGTGTGTACTTTCACAGGTGCTCAGTGTGTGGGTCACCTTTTTTAATAATAAGCTGTCAATCTGGGCTCGGGGGAGGGACATTTCACTAACCCTCCCTTAGTCTCATAAAGCCGATCCTCTGGGAGGAAAAATAAGTCATCAGCCGGGGGCCAAGTGTCCTCGAGCAGCAGTGAGAGGAGCAGAAATCGCAGGTGGATGCAATAAGGGGGACAGGGAGGTGGAATGAAACGTGGGGGCTTTTAAAGTAATATCTGCTCGCTCTCACGCTCACACGAACGCACACACGAACGGGGTTGTGTTGCCGACGTGCAATGAGACCGCGCGGTCTCTTAAGAAGAAATATTCAATGACTTTGACTGCATTAATGCTAAAGGTTGAAACAGTAGTAAGCTCCTTCAGTAAATGCTATTTCATCCGTCCCCCGACTCACCATTAACACATATTGCTAAAGCGGTATTTGCTACGGGGGGGGGGGAAGGGGGCACAGATGCCAGTAAAATACTCAATGTCGACACGGCACTGTGCTGGTTTGTGTAAAACATGTAAGGGAAGCAGTGGTTGCCACTCTGGACTTTATCAACCAAAACAAAAACAAAAAAATAAATTAAAAAAAATTGTAAAAAAAAATTTGGTCATTTTCACATTTAGCTTTGTTGTTGGGGGAAAAAAAACAAAAAAAAAAACAGTGGTTCTCAAACTGCGGTACGCGTACCACCGGTGGTACGCGAGCGCTCTCTGTTGGTACGTGGGGAAAATTCATATTTTCACATTTACATTTTCAATTGCATAAATCTGAAACATAGCAATAACTAATACAACATTTAAACATAAACTTCTCTCCTGTGCAATTGAATAAATCTGAAACATACCAATAAA